ATAACTTCGGAACTAGATGAGATAGAATAGAGCATTAAACGGCCAATCGGCTTATTTTTTCATGCTCTTTCAGACGAAGCAATAAGATAGATGAAGCACTTTTTGTTGCCCATACCTTTAACTCTTTAAGAATGTGCTTGATACCATTATGTCTGAGCTGACGTACATATTTGGAAGGATTTCAACGAGTATCGGCGATAAAAAATGGAGTAAAGTGGTGAATTTGGCCAAATACGTCCACTTGCAGGAGGTCAGAACATTTCGAAATATTAGGGACCAGTCATAAAGTATAGGGGGGGGGGGCTGGAGAAATCAAATTTTCAACTGTATATTTTTCCTTGGCCCACCCCTGGAATAAGGCTTAATTAATTATCAATGGTCCACCCTTAAAGTCATGCACAAAAATTAATGACCCACCCTTTGCTAAAAGACAACAAAAGGCGGGAAATTCATGGATCACTTTCTATTGGTGATATTTTTTACACGTTTCAAATTCAGTTTTATACATGATTTATTGCTTGGAAAACACCAAAACGTTACATACGACTCTGTTATACTAAAGTAAAATCCAACCCTACAGGGTGTAATCGTTAATTTAACCCTTACAGATCACTTATTGCCAAACGTCCCTATCCCTGTCATTTAAGCTCCCTTCACCATTTAGGATGCAATCACCTGCAGTCACATGATCACACAACGATAGATCCTACTCCACCCTTATATACCATCACAATCATTTAAACTCACTATACTATTGAGTAAGCTAGCTCTAAAAGGACCTGTCATTTTCTCTACTTCAAAATTAATTCATCATTAAGTCTGTTTTCTTTGATGTACCGAGGTGATTATTTTTAATAATCACCTTCAATATTAATTAGCTGAAAAGATGAAGGAAAACTCGGAAAATGGTCGTTCAAAGCAGACAAAACTTTGTTAGAAAACTTCCTTAATGATGAATTAAATATGATAAACACCTCGAAAGTCGGGATTTATGTCAGATGTCAAGATAATGTCATTATCTGACATAAATCCCTCTTTCTCGGTGTTTATCCTATACTTAACTGAAAAGATAAACAATAAAATACGAGGTGTTGAAATGTTAATACTGGGTAATTGGTTATTTTCAATAACTTCGTAATAATTTTTTTCTCTTGGCCTCACATTATTATCCGAACTCCTTCCTTCTCCTCTGCAAATTTTGCCTACAATCCCCTTAAAAACCCTGCTGAAGAGACTGTTAGGTTGAAACGCGTACATGTGTTGCCTTTCCTACTCATTTTCAATCTCTCGCCTTTTATATCATGTCCCACAAAATATTTCACCTTTTTTAGTTCCCTATAATCGTAGTTTCCATAGTTTACATTTATTGACATATATGTTCACCATAGGAGCCGGAGTATATAACAACCATTGTGAATACTGGTCCTCTAATTATTTCCTTCATAAAACGTACGAACAAGTTTAGTACACTGCGTTCATATATACATTAAAGTTCGTGTAATATGAAAAGTTTGGTTGGTCATGCATTGTGTGAGCTTGAATAATCCTTAACAGTTAACCCATTGAGTTGCATTGCGCCCTGATGCACCCCACTTTATTATTTTACTCTGTCTAATGCCAGATTATTTTACTCTGTCTAACGGCAGACTATTTTTCTTATCAAGGGAAAAGCGTGGTCGCTTATGGGTTAATTAACAGTGTAAATTGAAACATATTCACACATGACCCACTCCTAATATAGTGCACAATTTTCTCTGGCCCACCTTTTTTTGCAAGCATGAAAATGGTGCCCCCCCTTTTCTCCCCCCCCCCATATACTTTATGACTGGTCCCTTATTTTGGTCACGAAATATTAGCTATTTTACACGAAAACAGTGATAATATACTTAAATAAGTACCAATTATGCTTCTATCAAAATGATTTAGGGAATAGGTAATGTACGTCCAATGCTGTTTATCTGAAGTTGTAAGCGACACATTGACGTTTGACTATGAGTACTGCATGGTCATTTTCTTGTGAAATATCAGTGCTAGCCACTGCTAGGCATTTCACATTTACCAACAACCTCCCCTAAAAGCACCATCTCTGAACCATATAAGCACCTCAGAATAGCCAAAGCTTTATGGTTTAATTGGTAAATAGTTCTATGGCAAAGCGTCGTTTTTGGGTGTGGTCAGTTTCGGGCGGTTCGTCGTGGATTGGGGTTCGGGCAGCGCTACCATGTTGACCGTCATGGTCAACTTGCGCTAAAACAGTTGAGAATATCTGTCCCACTAACTATAATTGCAGGACCCCACTGAAAAACACTACGATGATGTGGGTATCATGATTAAATATAAAGACGCCGACGACAACGATGCATGTTTCCTAAATTATCCTGTTTAATTTAAGAAAACAACTTAAAATGGAAGCAAATTAATTTGAAGACCGAATTAGAATTACTCAACAATTTGAACTTTTTGAAAAACAGTTGAACTTTTTGAAAAACAGTTCCTCGGCAAAATGCAAGATAACATACTAATAGCATATATTTCGGAAATTCATTGAGCTGTATAGTTAAAAGTACTGATCTTTCAACTATTTTTGCCGTATAGTATAAAAAATATAAAAAATGGCAACATTTGACGCACAACACGAGCCTGCGCCAACTACTTATACTTCATGTTAAATCAATGTTTGGAAAATAAGGCGAGGGGTTGCTGCATGCATGTATTTCTAGTGTACTGAGAGTTACTTTTGAAAAATTTCTTATTCTGTAAGGATAAACCGTAACTAAATAGACTAAACACACAGAGGAAACAAACCTTGATTTTGTTTTACATCAAGAATTTTTTCTTCTTTGTTAATGCCATATGATGCAATGATCAAGACCTGACCTTTCAATTCTGACAACGGTCCTTCGTGAGCAGCCAAACATTCGTCTATATTATTGACAATGCACATGAATTCTGCACTTGTTTCATTCCAATTGGCACTGGTGCTAGTTGAACTATTTTTCACAAATAATGATAAAGGATGACCAGCTCTGATGTAATCTGTCAACTCATCTTGCTGTGTTGAAATATTAGCTGATAAATATGGTAGTTTCTGGTAGGTAGCATTGCAAAGTGTGATATTTACTTGTTGACAATATAGTTCCTGAAACATGTTCAGTGGGCAGAAGTGGACTCGGAAGTCAATTGGACCAGATACGTTTCCTGGAAGTGTTCCACTATTAACACTCCACAAGACATAAAGTGCATCACCAACAGTTTTCGCCTCGGAATTTGAAATGATTTTAAGTTCTAGAAAGCAAGATATGAAAAATAATTATGAAAAATCCTTTTAATCGCCTCTGATGGTTTGTCTAGTGGAAAGTACAGTAAACAATTTATTTATGAAGTGAACACAGCGAATGTCGTCACATTTGATAAAATATCGCAAATAGAAGGCGGAAATTTTGAATCACAATAGAAAACTGCTTTTATGTTAATTATTCAAAAAATGATTGTTTGTTATTTCTCCCCAAATTAATTTTAATTTGAAGCTAGTAAGGGAAAGTACATTTATTATGCCGAGGGGGGAGGGATGAAGATGTTAAGGGGGGCACCGAAATGGGTTGTTAAGGGGGTTCTGAAAGTTCTCGATATACTGAAGGGGGGTAGCCTGCGTAGCAGGCGTTTAGTGCGGGCGGAAGAAGAGAGGGCGTCGTTTGAGGAAACGCCTGCCCAAATGCCTATGATTAATTTGTTCTTCTCTGAAGAATGTTCGGAAAAGCTTCCCATTGGTCAATCTCGTTAACGGAAGTAATTACGCAACTCAAATGTCAACAATAATTTTTACTCGCGTATCGAAAATATGCCGCCTGTTAATGCTTTCGAGGGAACTCTTATATTTCAAGTATTTAGGCTTCGAAATTCAGGTGAAACCAGAATAGAGAAAGTCTATTATTAATTTGCTACGTGGTGAAGACGCCGGTTATCGCGATTCTTCCTACGGAATACGGAAAATCGGCAAATCAAAGCTTGCCCGAGCGGCAGGGATCGAATATTCCTTATAGTTGTCTTGTTATTTGTTCACTTTAAAGAATAATTCAAGACCAGCTATGAGGTTGGATCATGATTTTAAGGGTCTTGTCTAAAAGTACACACGAGTGACCACGAATGACCACGAGTGACCACGAGTGATTTCTGTGTTTAAAAGTCATAAAATAATAATAAAAAACTATTTTAAGGTGGCTCCATAAGGTTTTTGCATTATACTACACTTTTGTATCCAGAAAACTCCTGTTTCTTCACTTTATATGACACGAAGACGAAATTTATTGGACACATTGACAATGCTCTCCTGAACATTGCAATGTGCTACTTTTGCGCAGAAAGTCAGTTACCATGGTAACAGCGTGCTTAGGATAAGGCTGAAAATTTGTCTTTTTTCGGCCATTTTAAAAATCCTTTCGGGAATTTTTTTTTAGTTTTTCGACTATTATACACGTCAGTCTACAGGAACATAGCAAATCATCTGAAGTTGGGGGGGGGGGTTGTCGGAGGATTTTACCTGAAATTTGAAAATTTAATTAATAAATATTTACTTACTGAAGTGTAATAATTATAATAAAGCTTCTTGTGATAATGACTTGCACTGTCATACTAAGTTTCGGGAGAAAACGGGGGGTTTGGGGGTCCTCCCCCCCAAATTGTTCCATTTTTGAAGCTCTAGGATTGCAATTCTGGCGTTTTCTAAAGCAAATTCGCAAACAAATTGGATGTAAATTGACTGTATATTTTACAAAAATGGTTATTATTTCACACAAATAATTACTTTATTACGCAAATTGTACCTGAAAAAATCAAAATTTGTGAGGGGGCGGGGGGGGGGCTGTTACACGTCACATCTCGCAAAAAATGCCAAAATTAAACCTAAATTTCACCCTTTTCCTTCGGTAAATTGTTTTAAAACTTTGCACATTTCTTAATATCGGCTAAACAAACTCAGTATCCTTTTCTCTTAAAATTTTATTGAAGGGAATAATCTAAGAAACGTTCCATAAAATTTTTTAAAATTGAAGAAAAAATCATTATACGAGAACTGATCTTTTGTGCAAATTTTTAAATTTTTAAAATGGCCGGAAAAAGACAAAATTTGAGCTTAATTATCCAAAGCACGCTGTCACCATGGTAACGGACTTTCAGCGCAAAAGTGGTAAATTGCAATGTTCAGGAGAGCATTGTTAATGTGTCCAATAAATTTCGTCTTCGTGTCATGTAAAGTGAAGAAACAGGAGTTTTCTGGATACAAAAGTGTAGTATAATGCAAAAACCCTATGGAGTCACCTTAAAATACTTTTTTATTATTATTTTATGACTTTTAAACACAGAAATCACTCGTGGTCATTCGTGGTCATTCGTGGTCACTCGTGGTCACTCGTGGTCATCCGTGGTCACTCGTGTGTACTTTTAGACAAGACCCATTTCAAAACATGCTCAACTGTTATTTGCAGTTAATTTGCTATACGGCAGAAACGTTAAACAACCGTGGTTCAGGGGTCGTGTCTAAAAGTACACACGAGTGACCACGAGTGACCACGAATGACCACGAGTGACCACGAATGACCACGAATGACCACGAATGACCACGAGTGACCACGAGTGATTTCTGTGTTTAAAAGTCATAAAACAATAATAAAAAACTATTTTAAGGTGGCACCATAGGGTTTTTGCATTATACTACACTTTTGTACCCAGAAAACTCCTGTTTCTTCACTTTGCATGACACGAAGACGAAATTTATTGGACACATTGACAATGCTCTCCTGAACATTGCTACTTTTACGCTAAAGTCCGTTACAATTTACTACTTTTGCGCTGAAAGTCCGTTACCATGGTGACAGCGTGCTTTGGATAATTAAGCTCAAAATTTGTCTTTTTCCGGCCGTTTTAAAAATTTGCATAAAAGATCTTTCTTGTTTAATGATTTTTTTCTTCAATTTTAAAAAATTCTATGGAACGTTTCTTAGATTATTCCCTTCAATAAAATTTTAAGAAAAAAGGATATTGAGCTTGTTTAGCTGTTATTAAAAAATGTGCAAAGTTTTAAGACAATTTACCGAACGAAAAGGGAAAAATTTAGGTTTAACTGATTTTTGCATTTTTGGCGAGATGTGACGTGTAACCCCCCCCCCCCCCCCCCCCCCCC